ATGATTATTCTAGAGCTGTTTGGGTTTTTCTTATTGTGAACAAAACTGAAGTTACTAGTTGTCTGAAACAGTTCTTCCAAATGATTCAAACCCAATTTGGAAAAGTTATAAAAATTGTACGCACAGATAATGGGACTGAATTTGTGAACAAACCCTTGCGTCAGTTTTACACAACTATGGGGGTACTGGTTCAAACGTCATGCGTTAACACCCCACAACAAAATGGGCGTGTGGAACGTAAACACAGACATATTCTTAATGTCGCCCTTTCTTTGATGTTTCAAGCTTCTTTGCCTCTTGAATTTTGGGGTGAATGTGTGCGTACAGCTGTGTATCTTATTAATCGTACCCCTACTCCTCTCCTTCAGGGTATTTTTCTCAGTGCTAACAGCAATTTACAAATCTCTGCCTATTGTGATTCTGATTGGGCTAGCTGTCCCGTGTCCCGTCGGTCTGTTAGCGGATATTTTATTATGTTGGGGACTTCTCCGGTATCCTGGAAGACGAAGAAGCAAACCACTGTTGCCAGATCGTCCGCAGAGGCGGAATACAAGGCTATGGAAAATGCTTGTGTGGAGGTCCGTTGGATGCGGGGGGTTCTCCTCGCCTTGGGAGTTCCTATTTTATATCCTCCCCGATTATATTGTGACAATCAGTCAGCTTTGTATATTGCAGCTAATCCTGTTTTCCATGAACAAATGAAGCATGTGGATGTTGATTGTCACACCGTTCGAGAAAGTGTCCAGCGACATGAGGTGTCAACGAGATATGTTCGTACCAGTTGGCCGATATTTTCACTAAGCCGTTGGGCAAACCTAGTTTCGATTTTTTGTTGTGCAAGTTGGGCATTCAGGATCTTCATGCGCCAACTTGAGGGGGAGTGTTAGCGGATATTTGTATTTAGTTGTATTATTGTATTGGGCCCACACGTGTAACCCTAGCCCGTCTCGTGTAAACTTGTATATATACGGTCTTGGTTGTTCAATGAAAACAGATCAGTTTTTGTCTTATTTTTACACTTCACCTCTTATAAGAGGAATGTTTTTCCTTATATTTGAGGGTGGGTTTTACACACGGCTAAGAGAGGGAAAGGGTGTGAAGAGAGAGGTGCTACATGGAGAGTAGGGAGCAACTATTATTCAGTTACTCGAAAATATATTCGGGCGTAGGGTGTGAAAAGTCTGTTTATAAGTGTATGGTATTTAGCGCTTGTAAACATGGAGAGTTTTTTGTGTATCGTTCTGAAATAATGAAGATATAATTTTTCTCTCATATTTTTCTTCGTGTGTAGTGTGTTTATTTATTTTTCACGTTCTTGATATTTTAATAGTCTTACGCGCTTAAAATCCCAACAATTGCTATCAAAGCCAAGTTACATTTGGGGCGGAGGAATTTCTAAGCGGTAAGAGAAGAAAATCAAAGAACTTGAAAAATGGCATCAGTAAAAAGTTCGAATGTTTCTATTAAACCTTTCGATGGACGTGGCGATTTTACTTTGTGGCAACAACGAGTAAAAAGTGTTCTTAATGAGGAAGGGACAATTAAAGCTATGAAAGTGAAGGTTCAGAAGATAGAAAAAATAACGGATGCTAAGTGGGTCAAACACCGGAAGAACGACAAACGAGATAAATTGTCGGAAGAAAAGTGGGAGGATTTGAAAGACAAGGCAACAAGTACAATATGCTTATGCCTTGCAAATAATACTCTTCGGGAGGTTCTTGGTTTGACAGACCCGGTGGATATTTGGGAGAAGCTGGAGAGCCGATACAAGTCGAAATCGTTGACAAGTAGGCTATACTTGAAGAAACGATTGTTTGGTCTCCAAATGGAGAAAGAAGCTAACTTTAATGGACACTTGGATGAATTCAACAAGATTACAACAGAGTTGGAATCCATTGATGTGAAGATTGAAGAGGAGGACAAGGCATTGCTTTTGTTGGCTTCATTGCCTTCATCTTTTGACAACATTGTGACCACGCTCTTGTTTGGAAAAGAGACCTTAAAATTTGATGAAGTAGTTGTTGCGTTGTTGATGAAAGAGACTCAGCACGGTGGCAACGGGGTATCAAATGATGGTTAAGCTTTAGTAGCAAAAGGAGCTGGTCGGGAACAAGGACGGTCTAAAGAGAGGGGCAGCGTGTCCCAACGCTTCAAATCGAGTAGTAAAAGCTTTCGGTGTTACTATTGCGATGAAGAGGGTCATTTCAAAAGGGATTGTCCAAAGAGGAGGAAGGAAAAGAAGGACGGGAAAACACCCGTGATTGCGGTTGCAGAAAGTTCAAACCAAGCAAGTGAAGAAGACTTGTTTTTGGCAACCACAAAGAGTCTAGGTAAATCGGATTGGATATTAGATTTGGGTTGTTCGTTTCACATGTGTTCAGTTAAGGAACAATTTGATACCTATCAAACTTGTGATGGGGGTGCTGTGAAGATGGCAAATGGTGCACGGAGCAAGATTGCGGGGGTCGGAACAGTGCAAGTTTGCATGTTTGATGACGTGGTGAGAACATTAACTAGAGTGAAACATGTACCGGGTCTAAAAGAAAATTTAATTTCATTGAGGGCTTTAGATTCAGAAGGCTGCCAAATTTTTGCTCAAGGTGGATTGTTAAAAATTTCTAGGGGAGCAATGGTGGTAGCAAAATTAAAGGAGTTTTGTCAAAAGGCTTGTATAAACTTGTTGAAATTAATTTGACACGGAAGTTGTCAAAATGAAAAATTACAAGTGCAACAAACGGAGATGGAAGAAGCGAGTGACGTTTGAAGCTTCTCGGACTGATGGAGACTATGACCTCACCGGAAAGAGCGGGGTGGAGCCGGACAATGATTTGATTAATTAATCAAGGTGGAGTTCGTTGAGATTGATTAATTAAAAAACGAAAATAAAGAAAGTATGAATGCATGCATCATACATGTGAAGTGGACCCATGCATGTGAAGTGGAGCTTGTCTCCTTCCCTTGGTTTTTGGTGGTGTACGAAAATAATGGGATGGGGAGGTTTTTTTTGTTGGTTTTAACCTCTTATAATAGGAATGTTTTTCCTTATATTTGAGGGTGGGTTTTACACACGGCTAAGAGAGGGAAAGGGTGTGAAGAGAGAGGTGCTACATAAGATATCACCAATATTGTGGGAGAGAGTGTAAGGAGACACTATTATTTAGTTACTCGAAAATACATCTGGGTGTAGGGTGTGAAAAGTTTGTTTATGAGTGTCTGGTATTTACCGCTTGTAAACAGGGAAAGTTTTTTGTGTATTGTTCTGAAATAGTGAAGATATAAATTTTCTCTCATATTTTTCTTCTTGTGTAGTGTGTTTATTTATTTTTCACGTTCTTGATATTTTAATAGTCTTACGCGCTTAAAATCCCAACGCTTCTAACTTTTTTTATTTTATTCAAACTCTTTCTACTTTCTGACCAATTATTCTAAAAACAATATTATTATTATTATTATTATTCTTGTTGTTGTTATTACACCTATTATGTTCCTAACTATAGTTTATAATTTATTTTATTTTTTCATCTCACTATTTTTATGATTCACACTGATTATTAGTTTTTCTTCAACTTTTTAATATGAATAGTACCATTTTTTGTATATTAATCTACATGATAAAATAGGAAAAATCAATATTTTAAACTAGTTAAAAAAAACTATGGATAAAATAGTTGCATAGATTTTTTTAATCTACATTTATATAAGGAAAACATCAATAATCTAAAATAGAATAATGGAATGGGGTGGGGAGTACTACATTATGAAAACCAAGAGAGAATCGAAAAAGAAAAAAACGACCCAAAAAGTGTAAAAAACAAATTCTAGATAACAAATAATATCACCAATAATTAAAATACAACTAACAAAAAAGTTATACTTTCAATTATTTAATCTACTTTTTATTGTCTCTAATATGTAAAATATTGCACATATAAATATAAATAATCTAATCATTTTCAACACAATCATATTGTAAAAGCTATACTCTGTATTTAGTATCTTCAATTAGGCTTAACTGCATTGTAGAATATTAACTGCTATTTCATCTCTAAATTGCTTACTTGCATCTTTAGTTTGTTTATCAAACAACATCACCATGAGTCTATCTTCCGTTGTTCGCTGCATCGGTGAAATTGGTATTCCTTTTCGATGAAGACGAATGAAATTGTGCAAAGTGCATGTTGCAATAACAATTTGAATTTGGTGCTCCTCTTTCATTTGAACCATGGTGCAATATTTTCCAAGTGTTCTTCAAACCTCCAAATGTTCGCTCAATAGTTGTTCTCAAAGAGAAGTGACGATAGTTAAATGACTCCTTCCAACTTAAAGTTTTTTTAGTTTCATTAATTTTTTTTAGTTTTTTTAAATTTTCCTATTTTTCCTAGTTTTTCAGTTTCATTTAATTTTTCTCAGTTTCTTCCAGTTCTTTTCAGTTTCTTCTAATTCTTCTAGTTCATTCCAGTTTCTTTCAACATGTAGCTCTTTTTTTCCAATCCTAAAGAACATGCTCTTAATAGACACTTTGGGCAAATGACCATTTATGAAATAAATCTAAATGATAAAGGATCACGTTGATAATTATTGTTTATTATTAGCCTTCTACTTAATTAAAAAAATCATTTTGAGGACTTATTGATAGTTTAGATAATAAAGAGCATTAAAATACCCTCTATTTAACTGTCACTTAACAAACATTTTTGTTAAAAGACTTTACAAAACACATCTCAATCATAAAGCACCACGTTAGTCATTTTAGTTTATTGAGGATTACTTTGAGAAAAATCCTTATTAAAAAGAATCATTTTGAGAATTTACTCAAAATAATTGTTATATTTGGTGAGAAGAACTGTTTATAAATAGTTTTCAAAAATTGAGGAATATTTATTGAATATTTTATAATTCGAGACTAAATATGAAAAACTCCATATAATTGGTTACCATTTATGAAATTTACTCTATTTATTAAAAAAATTCACACTGATTAAAGATGGATGCGTACACAGGATATATCTCTTCTTCATGGATTGGGTGTCAAATTTGTTCTTGTGCCAGGGACGCATGTGCAGATTGATAGGCTTTTGTCTCAGCGTGGTGAGTTTCATTCTCTCTTCATCCATAGTTCATATGCATTATGCACCGGAGGTTTCTTCCTACTGAGTTGAGGTTTATTCACCCTGCTGGCGAATAAAATTCTCCCAGTAGGTTTTAGTTTTTAAAGACTAAGCACATTTTTAGTACTCCCTACGAAAGAAAGGGAAAATAGGTAATACAAAGTCCATATATTTAATAAAATCAGATGAGACGAAGAGAACAAGCTTTCCTAAACTTGTATTATGAAGTGTTTCGCGGCGGGCGTTGCACGGTTGGCAGGCAAGTGGTATCCAGGGTCTAATTCTTAATTTTGACTCGTGACAATTGCGCTAAGAGGCAACTTTGCTAACGATAGAGATTCTCTGCAAGTATCTGTTGCGAGTGAAGTGTTGGTAAGACCAATTTACCTCATCTCAGGTCACTGTTGGTAAAAGCCTAATTCACCTCATCTTAGCCTCCACCATTTGCCAGCATCTGTGCTAAAAGCCCAATTTATCTCATCTCAGGTCACCGGCCGGCCGGTTCTGATGCGGTTCATCCTTTTTTGCAATGTGTAGTTTTTTTTAATAGCTTATTTCTCATAGCAGGAAGGGAACCAAAGTATGTAGGTCGCTACAGAATCACAGACCCTGATTCCCTAGAGGCGGCAGTGGATGCCGCTGGAAGAATTCGAATGCTTTTAGAGACAAAGTTGTCCCCTGGACCTTCCCTCACTGGCATTCGCCGACACGGAGACAATAGTCGTTGGCATGACAGTGTCAGTGTTGCCAGTGGTAACTTCTTAGCTGCTAAGGTATGAAACTTCACATTTACCTTATGCATTTCGTTGCATCTTTTGAATCTGTTTATAAGTGCATACCATTGATTAGTACGAAATGTACCTAAACAGGACTAAAACATTAAACTTCTACCAAAATATGACATCGTGTGTTTTTATGTGCTAAATATGAGCTTTCGCACTGTGCGATACCACATCTTGGCTTTACATTTTGGCGTTTCACGACGTTATATATTGACACTCTCTGGCATTATAAGTCCTATTTTGGTATAAAAACAATGAAAGTCCTATTTTGGTAAATGATACATTTTTTAATCATAGTTAACAAGTTAAGTACTTCTCCCTAGATAAATTGATTCATGGGATTGGATAATGACTTTCAGGCTAAAGCCTTTTCGATATACTCTTTCGCAGAGAAGGGGAGTTGTTGAGGGAATTGATTACGGATCAACCGGTGAAGTGAAGAAGATTGATGTTTCTCGAATACGCGAGAGGCTTGATATGGACTCCATTGTGTTAATCAGCAATGTTGGTTATTCGAGTTCTGGCCAAGTTTTAAATTGCAAGTATGCATTATGGCTATAGGCCTTAAATATGAATCTTTGTTGCCCATTGGAGTATAAAAACACTCTTTCAACCTTCAACCCCAAGCTTGCGCTTTTGGTTGAGTTGGTTCCTTAACATTATATTAAGAACCTAATTTTGTTTGGTTTTGCAGCACATATGAAGTTGCTACAGCATGCGCGTTGGCCCTCGGTGCAGAGAAACTTATTTGCATTATGGACGGTCCGATATTAGATGAATCCGGTCGTCTTATTCGTTTCTTAACCCTTGAGGATGCAGACTTGCTGGTGCGTAGAAGAGCTTATCAAAGTGAAACTGCAGCAACTTATGTGAAAGCAGTCGGTCATGAAGGCCTATTGGACTATGAACCTTCAGATCGATCAGTGTTTTCCCTATATGGGAATGGATCATTCCAGAATGGGGTTGGCTTTGACAACGGGAACGGACTTTGGTGTGGGGAAAAAGGTTTTGCTATCGGTGGACAAGAGAGGCTAAGTCGATTGTATGGTTACCTTTCAGAGTTAGCCGCAGCAGCTTTTGTTTGTAGAGTGCGAAACTATATATATATCGCGTGACTTTGTTCATATGATGGATTCAAAAATATATAAAAAATATTTCCCAAATGTTCTCCCAATTCTATCTGAGTGCATCATGACCTTGATGATCTTGTTATCTATGTATTTTTTCCAGGGAGGTGTTCAAAGAGTTCATCTCTTAGATGGGACCATTGGTGGGGTTTTATTGAAGGAATTGTTTCAAAGGGATGGGATTGGTACAATGGTGGCTAGGTATGGAATCATTAGATGAATCTTGTTTCCTTTGGCTAGTTACATACTTACATTTCACATTTCTGGCAGTGATCTTTATCAAGGAACTCGAATGGCAAAGGAAACAGATATTCCCGGGATAGAAAAACTATTGCAAACTTTAGAAGAGGACGGGGAATTGATCGCGAGGACAGAGGAGGATGTAAGTCAAGGCTGATTGTAAAGTTCTTACCTTTTTTTAGTTGCCATTCGAGTTTGGTTCACTTCATCTTTTCTCCTATAATATCTTCCAATTTACGTAATGACCTTCGAATTCCAGCTTCGTGAGGCATTGGGTTCCTTCATCGTCGTGGAAAGAGAGGGTCAAATCATAGCTTGTGGTGCTCTCTTTCCCTTCTTGAAAGACAAATGCGCGGAGGTTGCTTCTCTTGTTGTTTCTCCCGATTGTCGATGCCAAGGACAAGGAGACAAATTGCTTGGTATGGAAGGAGTAATATATTGTTAAGTTAGTATAGAATTTTGAGATTTCATCCCAAAATCAATTGACAATCATATGATATATTCGTATTCTTGTATACTCCCTCCGTCCTAAACTAATGTTCTTGATTGGGTTTGGCACAAACTTTAAGAAAACTGAAATTGGGCGGTTGAAAGTGATGCAAATGGGAGAGAAAGATTGGGAGCCACAAAAAACTTTTCAAAAAAAGAAACATGAAGCTTTTTTTGGGACGTCCCGAAAAAGGAAAACAGGAAGATTAATTTGGTAGAGAGGGAGTACTAATCATTTGGTTACTGTAATTATATAGACCATGTATGAAATGCATATATGTATCTGTGCAGATTACATTGAAAGGAAGGCATCTACCCTTGGGATACAAATGCTTTTTCTCTTTACAACTCGCAGTGCAGACTGGTATGGCTTCATACATAATGGATTTTCTTCTTCTCTTAAGCTCTGTTTGGTTGCTGGAAAATAAGTGGCTGTCGAAAATGTTTTTATGTATAATATGTGGTTTGAGTGCAAACAACAACAACAAAAGACAAAAGCCCATAAAAAAGTCGGTTCACTTACTATCCGAAACTTTAGAGAAGTTTTGTGTCATTTTGATTTAGTTCATTTATTACTCGAGGCTATAACATTGTCAAATATAAGCACTTTGTGCGTGTTTCGGTGTACGATTAACATTAATTCATTCATTGTACGGTTTTCCTCGACAGGTTTATTAGGCGCGGCTTTTCAGAATGTTCCACTGATAAGATACCGGTGGAGAGAAGAAAACGAATAAACCTCTCAAAATATTACATGAAGAGGTTGCAGCCTGATAGAAGTGGTGTTTGCTTTGGTGTAGTACGTAGCGCATTGGCTTAATTGAGGGAATGACCCTTGTACTTGGTGCATTGCTGGTTGTACATTGAACTGGACTTGTAAAACCTTTCTGTAATACTACGAGTCCATACTTCGTGATAAATAAATAAAAAAAAAAGTTCATACTTTATCTCTGGAGTGAGAAAGTTTCAGATGTGTTGGCGTAGCCACACTGAGTTGAGTGGGAATAATACCCAGAAAAATGGTTTTACTGATTGGAAATGATTGAATGGCTATATCAGGGGAAAAAAATGCCAGTGACATGTCTTAGGTTATGAATCAAAAAACATTAATTACCTTGAAATAATCAATGTTTAAGGGTTATGAGATTTGTTTGTACTATATTACAGCTGGAAGGAAATGGGTGCAAGTTTCTTGTTTGTCACATTGAATCGACAACAAGGGTAAATTAGTACTAAATTTCTGAATGTTGACCCCGTAAATAGTAAACAGACAACTTAATTTGGAATATTGGGAGTAATAAAATAAATAAGGGCACGCAAACTCTTCATAACCAATGCTTATCGGCTACTGAATTGCCTTCAAAGCTCATGTGCTTCACGAAAAGGGATGCTAAGAGAACGTATCAATGAATAGATTGTTATCAAATATTGTTCTCTAAAAGAGGGGGGAAACATTAAAATGCAAATAGAGTATCAGAAAGACAATGGAATGCACATCCCAAAAGTCTGTTGCAAAGTATTTGCAGGCCTTATTCTGCTCTTCTTCAATGTTGTCAAAGATGAAAAAAAATGGCCAATCAATGATTGATAAGGCTGTCAAAAGAATATCATCACGGCTTGAGAGCGAGGGCAACGCCAAACCTGGGAGTCTTCTCCAAGGCCTTGGTGTCGAACTCACTTGAGATGCTCAAAATCGATTTCGGTATCACTTCGTGCTGCAAGAGAGCACCTAGTTTTCCATGATTGTTAAGCTTCACCTTCACATTAGTCAGCTCATCAATGGCACATGACCCCCCAACTGTGAATGTGTTCTCATTGGTGGAAAATCTTCTGATGATCTCTCCTACCGCAGCAGTCCTCTTTGACTCGTCCAGGTGGTGAGTATAAGATGCCTTTATCGTATCCCCCTTGTCTCCCCTGTGCCAGAAGGAAAGAGCAAAAACGTATGAGAAAACTAGCTTTGAGCTTCATTGGAACAACCAAGGACAAATGTGACAGTACGCCATCAGTACTCATGCAAAACCACTTGGCATTTAGATATCAGCGAGTCTTTTTATTTTTTTTAGGGGGGGGGGGCGGACAAAAAATTGCATTTTGCAACTTTTTGAGAAGAGAAAAGATGTGAAAATATCAATATTCACTTCATATTTTTTTTTATACATCCTGATATTTCTCATGACATTTTAATATTTCTTGTCATTTTCCAAAATTTCTCTGATACTCCAGATCATTGTGTCACCCAAATATTGATCTGGAATATTCCCCCAATATTGATGATTAAGGAAATTTCAGAAAATATTGGGATATTTTCATCATTGGGCATAACCAATGGATTAGCAGTCATTGACTCACAAGATTATTGCAGCACAAGAATCAGGTCTTGTTACACAGATACCAGCATTGTACTTGGTTAGTTTGCCAGAAGCAGTTTCATAGCTCGTTTCGGCACCAACAGCAAATGTTGGGGTGCCAAGTGTCACGGAAAGATCGACATTGGGGGACTGATTTGGTGCAGAAACAGCTGCTGTGAGGGTCGCATGGTGGTGGAAATACTCTAACTCCAGCTACATTCATACCACAAAACCACAGAAAAAGGTGAGTATAAGAAATATAACAGGCAACTAACCATACGTTATACTACTTCCATCGAAAAAAATCATGTTTTTAACAAATGTACAACCTTTATATTTTGGGATGTGCAGTTATGATAAATTATGAATCTTACTTAATTTTAAAATTTATTGTTGGTTTAACTCATTGCCTGTTTGGTAATAAAACCTAGCCTTTTCTGTTTATGGCTTCTTATGAGCAAACCCAGACCTTAATTTCGTGGGATAATATTGGATTTTGTTGTTGTCGGTTCTTATGAGCAAAATATATAAACGGATTTTACCAAAAGTTCTTCGATTATGAGTATTCAATAGACTCAGCCATATTGACCAAGTACATGTACCAAACAGGCTCCATATTTATCACATGCAATTTATCTATATCTCATTTTTTTATCAAACTTGTAAGTAAATTAAATGAAACATTATCTTCATGGGATCAGACTTGATTCTTTTTTTTTTTTTGGGGGGGGGGGGGGGGGGGGGGGGNAACATTCCTTTTCTTAATTGGACAGGAGCATATGAGATATGGGCTTTTTTACCTTGCCAGAATTATAATCAGGAAATTTTATAGAAGCAATGGCCTTTGTTGAAGGGACAATGTTGGTGATTGTCAGAGTCGTTAAGATCTGCAACAAATGATAGTGAGATTTATTGTCACTATATTTTGGAAAACCAAGTTTTATTCTGGTATGATAAAACATCTTAATTACCCACATTTGATTCTGTATCAACTTTGACATCAAATGTAGTGTTGTTATATTTGTATTGTGCTGCCACATCTCCAGTCGAGAGAGCTCCTTTCTTTACAGCAGTGGATGTTAGGGCCTACACCAAACAATAAGAGTATGAAATGTATGAGAAGCTAGATTCGCATAGTTATTGAGACGCCAAAGTGAGGCATGGCGCCAGTGTACTGCCAGGGTGTATAATCAACTAGGAGACAAGTCATAAATTAGAATTATACTCCATGTGTTTCAAAAAAGATTACTTTGAACATTTAAAATTTGTAAACTATGATCATATAATTCAACTATATAGTTCATCTACACACATCATGTAATTAATGCACTGCAATCCTCAGCAGAGTGAAGTCGTATCTGGATCTATTCAGATCTCCATAATCCCAATTGCTAAGGGTAAGATTGATTCAGATCAACTCCCAAACTTTTGTTGTGTTTCGCTTGTGTACACAAGGTCAGTCATTCATTTTTTAAAGAAAAATAATTTCTTGTTTGACCTAGTCATCCGATAAGCGTCAAGTCGGCGCCAAGTCGCCACCTTGGCAACGCCTTGATAGCTATGACCATTCATTGGTTATCAAATGAAGAAAAAATGATTCAAACAAAAAAAAGTCATTTCATTGTGACTACCTATTTAGTGCTCTCCCAGTTATTATTAAGAGGATATTGAAATTTTGATCTTTTAATTATATCAAAACTATAAATTTGATCCTTGGATTTCCAATTTGCCTAAGCTGTTTTTCTAAGTTTCAAGTAACTCATGTGTTGTAGTTGTTGTCCATCAACCCTGATGGAGTTATGTAATGCTGCGGGGAACATGAGCATTTTTGTTACTTCTCATATCCCTATTCATGAACTATTGAAGTTGTATTGTCACTGTGCATCTTTTCATCCTTATGTGAACTGCTAACAAGACTTCACAAACATAAATGGATATTATTTTACAGCAATTATGGGCCTAATAATGATATTTTTGTTACAATGAACATGGAGTTATGAGTGACTCGAATAAAATTGTTATAGGAAGGGAAATATGAAATTTAACATTATGAGCTTCACTAATTGTTTAGACCACAGTAGCTCCAAATGGTTCCCTAAATAGTTTTGGAACAATAAATGTTACGGAGTAGATTTCAAGTTAACAGAATCACCACATCTTAAAGGAACACATCTCTGTCATTGTTGCCTGGTGTGAAAATGTGGACTCTAGAGGTGGTGGCTCCAATGATAAAAGGAATTCTAGACAATAAGGACCCTTGCCTTACCGATGTAATGTATATCCCCAAAAACTGAAAATATTCCATGAATCAACTACATACCAAGCGATAGTGTTCTATGGATCAGCATACAAACATGTGGAGAGATGAAATGGACCACACAATGATGTAAGGAAGGCGGTAAAAGACTACTGACTAGACAAAATTAAAAACGGTTTCAAACTTTTTACCCCTTCAATAATGTATTCTCGAATTAGCAAATCAAATAGAAGTAAACATGACCGTAGCCAGTGTATGCAAATGTTGCTCAATTATTACATTTTTTTACTCCACCTTCATTACATAAATCAACAGAGAAAAGTGCCATTGTGAGAAGCCAATTCATAAATTCAAATACACAAGGACAACTCAATGAAGTTGCCATTTATTAAGTGTAAAGCCTAACAGTGGAGAAAGAGGTATATACAGTAGACTAAATCCCTATTTTCAAAGTGCAATTCCAAACTGAAACATGCATCCAACAATCCCAGACCACAGGCTGTTAAACTGTAATTAAAGCCTAAATAGCAAGTCACCAAATTCAACAAGCGAAAAAAAAGGTATCGCCAGAAAATACACGATTCAAAACGATTAAAGTAACGGAATCCAATGAAATCGTACCACTCCGCTCTCACTGTAGGTCGACACAGATATCTTCTGATCCGAGATGAAATCCTTCGTTAGCAGATCTATATGTTTCGTAAACGATGAGAATCAGAGTCTAAGTTTCGGAATCTATGAAGTCACACACAAAGCGTACAAGACCGTTAACGGCGAAAACTACAGCAGGATCTGCGATGGAATTACCTTTGGCCTTCCTGCCAATACCGGAGAAGAGACCAGGTCCGGTACTCATTTTTTCCTCAGGGCGACGAGATCGACAGAGATGGAGATTTGCAGAGGCTCAGCAGCGTGGTGGAACTCTGAATCTGAGAACCGCGAAGGGAATTCCGAAAAGAAATTCGTTTATATGATGACGACGGGGTATTATTTTCTTAGGGGCCACGAATAACGGGATGGATTTGGGTGTGGAACTATCTCTACCGTTGGTTTAATCGACTTTTTTCTTTCCGTAAATAAAAAAAGGGTCATGCTCCTGCTTATTTACCCAATATATATGGACCACTCGGATTATAATGTATCTAACTTTTTATTGCTTAAAATGAAAAACTTTAATTTTTTCATATATTTTTACAGATTCTTATTAATATTTTTTGATCTTTTTACAACTTTTAATTTTTTCATTAATGCTTGGTACTCCCTTTGTGTTAGAATAAGATTACTGTTTTAATTTCAAAAAAATTGAAGTAATAATCTTTGTTTATTGTTCTAAAAACTTTGATCATGTATGCATTCAAAATTCACAGTTATAGAGGTATACATACAAATCCTACACTATCAATTATTTGGGAACACGATTTTTAATTTTTTACACCATACCTTACTTATTACATGGGATTGTATGTGCCCCTCACTCCAACCCCGCATTAATATGATAGTTTGCTCTGGGCTAGCCCTCGCGGATTTGTTTTTGGCCACTTCCCAAAAGACCTCATACTAATGGTGTTAGGTGAACCTATATATTTTGGTTCATTTACTCATATACTTCCGGTGTGGGACTTGGAGGAATCCTCTCAACCAAGAACCACACAACTTCTAACCTCCCCTCCAGCGGTAATCCATTTTTCCTTTTATCTGCTAAACATCTTGCACCGCCGCACACTCTTTGCGGGACGCGCCGCCCAACCTCTTGTCGGGAAGACTTTCGACACAAGGCTCGTACCGCAGATCTTTTCCTTTGCTGGGCTACACCATTTGATCCGCCAAATCATCTTGTACCGCCGTGACTATAACTTCACGGGACACGCCGCTCTGGGCCAAGCCCTCGTGGATTTGTTTTTGGACACCTCCCAAAAAGCCTCATACTAATGGAGTTAGGTAAATCTATATATTTTGGTTCATTTACTCATATACTTTCGGTGTGGGACTTGAAGGAATCCCAACAACATGTTTGTTAATATGAAGGCCGTTTAAGGTTTTCAAAGTTAATCTATCCTTTTTATAAAGTCTATAATGCTTTTGTTTTGGATTATTCACAAATTTTCATAATTTAAAAACTCTATGTGAAATCTCTATGGTCAATCAACACATACCAAACATAAATAAGCATGCATCCTAAGAGTGATTTAGTACATGTACCTACTTTTGGATTCATACGCTTGCTTCCAATGAGCTTTGTTAATTTGTTATTTTCCATATTCTTCTTGATTATGAGCCGTCAGTTAGGGTATGAATGTATGTATTAAAAATTATAGAAATCATCTTAAATAGGACTAAAACATAGAAAAAATTATTAAAATAGGATTTTCATATTTTTTTTTCCGGAATAGGACTTTACATTGTGGTAATGCGACTTTGCATTGTGATAATGTGGCAGTGTACATGTGCAAATAATTATACTTTTTGGTAATGTATACGACCACGTTTGGTAATGTAAGTCCTATTTCGGGAATAAAAACATGAAAGTCCTATTTTGGTATATTTTCAATGTTTTAGTCCTACTTTGGTCTTTCTCCCTAAAAATTAATGAGACAATTGAATTGCATATTCTCTTACCCAGGAAATGTTTTTGTAAATTTATTTTTTTAAGGGAGTTTTATGATAATGAAAGGGTAATAGTGTTTTTTTAACGGTGAATTCATAAATCTTTTTTTAACCAATTCCATTAATATATGTAATTCCCTTGTTTTCTTTCTTCAGACCAAATCGAACGATTAACAAAAGGATTCTATAAAAGTAATTTTTTTTCTTAAAATACTTACAAACCTGAATATGTAATTAGAAAAAGCTTTCCTGTTTTTAACCAATTCCATTAATTATCTTACACTTTTCGTAGCGTTGAGATCTCGAATGGTTATCGTTGTGATCCGTGAGTATTTATAATAAAAATATTCAAAATTGGAATATTACCAAAATTCCTCCATTGTTAAAAATATATTTTCCTTAACAGTACATCCCAAGAGTACAATGTTTTTTTCCTTCTATAATCCGAAGACTACAATGCTATTTTCCTTTTATAATTTCTTTATTTTCCGATTTTATGTGCTCATAATTCTCTATATAGTAGCTTTCCTTTTTTTAACTCATTTTGTCAAGTAATACATTTGACGGTATTAATTTTGGAACTAACATTGCAAGCAATAAACATGTTAGTACCCGATTTTATGTCGAGTAACTCGCATGGATTAATAACTTACGATGCTTTCCTTTCTCTTTTTTAGGACGGTTTTCAATTTTGAAAAACAAATACCTTTTTACACGCATATATCGTCAGCCTTGGGCAAGAAAAGCATGGTGAAAAATTCCCCTGCTTTTAAGAATAGGAAAATTATTTTACACGCATATGCTCCGCACATGGGCATGGTGAAAAATTCTCCTGTTTTGATTTTGAGGATAGATTTAAGGAGAGTATATTTTGGTATTGAATTTCTAAAAATGTTCTTTGATGTGATGGATAAAAGTATGATTTGATGGATAGATTATTAGTAAAAAAGTATGATGTGATAGGTAGGGTATGAAAAAGTAAGGGGTAAAAGTGACTTTTTAATAGAAATGAGAAGTGTTTTTTGGGACGGATGAAAAAAGAAAGGAGAAAGGTTTTCAAGGACGGAGGGAGTATATCTATATTTACACACACACACAAACACCTACAAATTAAACAAAAAATGTATTTCTCGTGCAGCACACAAGTAAGATACTACAAAGTAGTTAAGATAAAAATATAATTGTACATAGAATTAATCCGTAATATCCTACAACTAAAACAATGACTAATACAATTAACAAATATACAACATAAATAGAAATAGAAAACACATACTCTTTTCACTAGAAACGGCCCAAAAAATAACCAAAAAATTACTCACGGGTGACACGAGTTTTGTTGAAATAACTCTCAGGTCCCTCTATTTTTAAGAAGACAACAGAAGTCCTTACATTTTGTTGTAATGACTGGAAGGGGACATTCCATCCAATATTTCATCTATAAACGTTAATAAATGTATTTTTTCGTATTCTTTTCTAAATGTTTTAAGTAATAAATCTTAAGTCGCTCCTTTTTTATTTCTTTGTTTTTCTTTCATTTTGTTACTATTTTTTAAAGTGTTATTTTAGAAGTTTTTCTATAAAATCGTATAAAAATTCAAAATTGTTTGTATTATATTAAAACAAATGAAATAAAAAAATTTTAAAAAAAGAAAAAACAAGGTAATGGCAAAATAGGAAAAAACGGTATTGGAAAAATAGAAAAAAATACATTTATTAACACATACGGATGATATATTGGATGAAATGTCCCCTCTCAGTCATTACAACAAAATATAAGGACCTCGGTTGTCTTTTTGAAAATAGAAGGACCTGAAAGTTATTTCGACAAAACTCGCGTCACCCGCGACTAATTTTCTGAAAAATAACATTAGAAATGGCTAGTCCGTTGTCATGTTCTGTTCTAGAAAATATGTACTTTCTTCATTACAAATGGCCCAATTAAAAGGAGTAATAAGTACTTTAGAGGATAAATGTTATTTTTTGGCCAAATGAAAAAAGTATCTATTTTCTAGAAAATAACATAACAATTAAACCTTACAAAAATTGAACTAACATGTTTTTGACTCTGAATCCCGAGCTAATTATTTTGATTGATCGAACTATATGACAACTGAACCCAAAATGACTCTCTAAAAATGGGTCAAACCCGATTGAACCAGTTGAACGTAACCTGACTGAACGTAAACACAACCAGATTGACTCGCTCAAGAATTAATTTTTTAAAATCATGTACCCTTTGTTTAATAGTATGAAATACTCTGTATAATATGATAAAATAATATTATAATATTAATTTTCCTTATTTTTTTAGTGTATAAATTTTTCTTTCGAAACAAGTTTTTAATGGTATTGTATTGTTATATCACCTCTTAAAAATAATTGACATATTTAAATTATTTACATTATTTGTAATATTGCTCTATATATCTAAAACTTTGGAGGGGATCTTTTGACCTTGGAACCCTGGGTCATATTATGACCTGGGCCTCTACAGTGCTTCGTTCGTAAAATTATTCTTTTTATTACTTATTTTTATGGGAAGTAGATTAAATTAGACTGCTTTAGACGAGCAAAATCAAATCAGAAATAACTTTAAATATAACTACAACCAGATCAGACAAGACTTAAATAAAATCAGATAGTATCCAATCAGATTACTATCCTCTAACATTGATGTATTCTACTCCATTCGTCTCAAATTAATGTTCTACTTTTTTATTGTTCGTTTCAAATTAATGTTTACATTCTCTTGATCCATCTCAAAATAAAGTTATACTTTCCAAATTAATTATGTCTCCGTTAGTTTTCTTTATAAGTCGAACCCCATTATCCTTTCAAAAAAAAACTCCATTAAATTAGACATATAAAGGTTCCAATATGGTGATTTGTATTGCGTATTTGCAAGAGATTGGACGTGAACAAAGTGTGCACTAAATTGATCCATGTCGATCACAAAGTACCTCCGGTCCATGAATGTCTCCACATCAATTGCTATCACATATTCACACGATCACCCAATCCAATATAATTAAGGACAACCAATATTTGATAGGCCAACATAATGGATATTTGATTTGTTATTTTTTTTGAAATTTTGTCATCAATTACCAATTTAATTAATTGAGACTTAGGGAGTTCAATACGACAAATGACAAATCTAATTAGAAAATATTGGATTTGTGTGGTGCAAATATCTATTGGGAGACAAACAAACGACCAAATTATTGATTAACTAACCACAATGAAGTCATGGGCCCATGAGATTTAACGTTCACTAATTCGTGCCCTAGTATCAATCGAATAGAATGTATCTTATCATATCTCATTATTATAATTGTTGAGATACATCAAAAATTAAATTAACTTTTTGATGTATTATAAAAGTTATAACGGTGGAGTTCTAGTGCCACTGGAGTACGGTGTCACTCCGGTGCCACTGGCATTTTGGGGTACCTCCGGTGCCTACCCTCCCTAATCCACCCCCTAAACCCCCCACCCTACCCCCGCCCCTGCACCCCAACCCCAATCCCGCCATAAGCCCCCCACAAAATGTGTGGCTATTATGCGTTCATAATAGCCACACATTTTGTGGGGGGGCTTACGGCGGGGTTGGGGTGGGGGTGCAGAGGCGGGGCAGGGTGGGGGTGCAGGGGGTGGGTTAGAGGGGTAGGAACCGTCAATTTTGCGAACGGAGCACCGGAGGTGCCTCAAAATGCCAGTGACACCGGAGTGGCACCGTACTCCAGTGACACTAGAACCCCACCGAAGTTATAATGACTAGTTAATTGTGAATAAATTGAATAAATTTCAAGGCAAATTGTACAAAATTATAGAGGATGCTTCTTGCACTAATCAAACCAAGTAAATTGCATCAAGAGAAAGGTTCAATTAGATGTATACATTTGGAGTTTTTTTCTTTCTCAACAATTGGTATGTGCATGATGTGTTTCTCCTCCATGTCTCTCTCTAATTTTCTGGCATGTTTTGGTAGCTTTGTATACTCTTTTTCATATATAATCTCAAAGGAAGGAAACAATTAGGTGATATACATATAGTAAGAAGGAACGTCTCACTTGTGGTTAGGTGATTTATATTTAGTAAGGAGAAACATTTTACTTGTTTGCGTGCATTTTATAAGGGAGAATATCTATATGCTTTAATGTGTTGAGGTATAATATGATCTCTGAAGGACTCTTTTATGCATATCTCCATATTTTATCATTATAAAAAAGGGAAATTGTTAGACCTTGTGTAGAATTATTGATCTGTTTTAGTTTTATTAGCATGATTTCCAAATATAGCTTTTGATGAATAACAAACAATGTGTGAAGATATTTTGAAGTGTAACTTGAAGTGTAACCTGAAGGCTTAGGTGTTAGGTAGAACTAATGTAAGAGTAATACTAACATTATCTTATCTCTTTGCAAAACATAGGTCAATCTCTTTTACACTTGTAGAAAAGTATTTTCTAAATATCTTTCTACACAAAAACATGTTTTTTGTCATCCACAAAAACCCCTTTTTCATAACTGACCCTAACCTCAGTTTTAGTTAGCAGGAAAATAGGACAAACGACTGTTCAGTATAAACAATTGATTGTTAAATGGTTTCTGATTTTCAAAACTAGAGAACCAGACAAAAATCAAGTTTTCTATATGAACAATTAAATTTCACCTGGCTTTTAGCTTTAAAGCTAAAAACCAACAATAACTATATTGAAGGTTCCTCATGAACAATCACTACGCCAGAATTTTAATCAGACAACTGTTTTTTAGTAGTCTTATAGTGCTGATTATAATAGTCTTCAGAGAAGTAGTGTCATAGACTAACAAACCTCAGTTTTAAATCAGTTGTGTGGAACTAAAACAAACAACTATTTCCTAGTGTCTTAGAATACCATTTTAAATTCCAATGTTTTCATTGTAGATGTAATACTCTATATCATTTCTCATAGAGTGTGAACCCGATATTCTAACATGTTTATTAGAAAACGAGCCACAAACCTATCATGAAGTAGTGACTTCGTCTAAAGACCCTCAACGGAAATAGACCATCAAAAGAGAAGTTGAATCTATTTTGTAGAATCACACTTGGGAGTTAGTAAATCTACATTGAGGATAAACTCTTAGGTTCTAAGTGGATCTTCTAGAGGAAAATGAAACGAGATAGTTTCATTAATAAGTACAGAGCTGGACTTGTAATTAAGGGTTATAGTCAACGTGAAGGCTTTGATTACTTTGATCACTTATAAGTTCATCAAATGAATGTGAAAACAACTTTCTTTAATGGAGATTTAGAAGAAGAGATCTACATGTAACAAAATAAGGGTTATAGTTCTAGTTCAGGAAAGGAAAGTCTATAAACTTGTTAAGTTATTATATGGTCTTAAAGAGGTGCCAAAACAATGGCATGAGAAGTTTGACCAAGTAATGATTAACTCCGACTTAAAGATTAATGAAGGAGACAAGTCTGTATCTTTAAAAGATACATCCCAGGGGTATGTCATGTTATTTCTTAGGATAATGATATTTGTACACCAAGAATTTGTACCCCATTTTGTACACCGCATGGATGCACCAATAATTTGTGTTGGTGTAATGCTAATTTTTGTTAACACACCAACACTTTGTGTCAGTGTAAATTTTTGTTAATCCACCAACACTTTGTGTCAATGTGAACCATCAAAATGTTAGTGTATACCTTTGGTGTACAAATGAGGTACAAATTTTGGGGTGCATGTAACATGCTCCAATAGACGACAAATTCATAGTGGGTAGCACTGACAATATGGTTAAGTCAAGAAAAGATATGTTAAACTCACAGTTTGACAAGAAGAACATGTTTAACTCACAGTTTGACAAGAAGGACATGGTATAACTTCTAAAAAGTCATACGTTAAAGCTATCCTAATTATGTTATTTTAAGAAATGATCAATAAAAGTAAGTAAAACAAAGGCTTTAAAAAAGTGAAGAAAAAAGAGAAAAATTTGACCCGTAAATAGTGAATAAGACCATCTTAAATCTATAACACCAAACTCAAATCTAAAATGCCGTTAAAATTCAAATATTAACGATGCATCTCTAACTCATTATACCAAACTCAAACTCAAATCACAATATAATTCTTTTTTCATTGCTTAAACTCAAAAAGATATTGCCACAACATATTAATTTTCTCATTATTTACTTTGAAAATAAAAAAATTGAAAATAAGTGAATAAAATTTACTCAAAAATCGAAATAAGGTACAAAATATAAAAACAAATTCTAGAACAAAAAAGAGTGAAAAAGATGCAGTAAAGAACAATATAAATGCCTATATGCATTGAAAGTGGGAAGAGAGGGTAGAAAACCCCAAAATAGATATTTGTTTGTGTGGGGATTAAAGAAGAAAAATTGTAAAGTAGCAGTTTTGGTACATTATTGAAGATGCCCTAAGAGAATTAAATTGGAATGGATGGAGGATATGTACTAGAGTCACATAGCTACTAAATTTGTCTCTAGAGTCACGTAACACATGCTGCAATTGATTACTACATTTGTCTTTATTTTTGGCACTACACATATTTTCATCTCAAGAATGCATTCATATAATATTATCTACTTTGGTCCAAGCCTTCACAGATATTAAGAATAATATATGTATTAGAAAAAAAACATTATTTATTTTACGTTCCTTATTATATTATTTCATTGTTGCATTGTTACATTAGTTAAAGGCTGCAACTTTTCATGTTTGGAAGTCAACAACCTGAAAAACGATGTTCACCATTTGAACATCGATGTTGAGGTGACCGTTGCAACTTCCAGTTTGAAAGTTTTAGCCTCAATAGTGATGTTTAGCACTTGAACATCGATGTTAGGCTTACTTTCAGCAGATCCTATTTTAAATTAAATCCCACAAATTAAGCCAATCACCCCCAATCAACCCCCCCCTCGTTGGAGCCTATTTTTCACTAAAAATTGGGGTGTTTGAGTCTTCTTTTCTTATCCAATCACTTGACAATTCATAATCCTTCATTGCAATTCATTCTTACATGTTTTCAATGCTTTTGAGAGCCATTCTTGTGAAGTTTTTGTTGTGTTCTTGAGCGTTATTAGTTTACTCAACATCCACTCTAAAAGATAGTCTTGTTCTTGAGTGCATTTGTGTTTAAGACACTAGTTAAAAGAAAGTGATTCTCTTGTTGGTTCGAAGGAAGGGTTGTTTCCTTCGAAGGTTCGTGTAACTCAAACTCTCAAGTTGTACGGGTTTGTTAAGCACCGTTAAGGTTAACATTGATAGTGTAACTCGAGAGAGTCTCTCGGGAGGCTGGACGCAGCCACACGTTGTGGTGAACAAGGGTAAAATCGGTGTGCCTTCTCCTTACTCTTTCGTTTCGCTCTTAAATTTTTTTCTTGCGATTTTTCGTTTCAAACGCTAGTCACCCCCCTCTAGTGTTGGGAATATTATTTAACAATTGGTATCGGAGCCTAAGTCTCTTCCAGACTTAACTATTTGAGAGGAATAAGATCATGGGCTCTTCGTCTAGAAATTTGTACGCACGTATAGGTGAAGGTCAATCTACCTCAAGCCCACCACCTTTTGATGGCACCAACTACACATATTGGAAGGAACAGGTGAGAATCTATATCCGTTCCACCAACATCCAATTGTGGTTGGTTATCAAGAATGATGAAGAGGTACCTATGAAAAAGGTAGGAGAAACCACGGTCCCCAAGACCAAAGATGAATTTGATGTCGAAGACATCAAAAAGGTCGAAAACTATGCAAAGGCCATAAACATGTTCTATTGTGCCGCAAATCCCGGTGACTACAGGAAGATCTCTTACTGCTCCACCGCCAAAGAGATGTGAGACAAGCTTGAGGTAATGTATGAAGGTACGGATCAGGTACGTGAAGCGAAATAGATTTCCTTACCCAAGAATATGAGATGTTCAAGATGAAGGAAGGTGAGAAGATCGATGATATGTTCGATCGCTTCACTAAGATCATCAACGATCTCCATGCACTGAAGAAAACATATTCCAACAAGGATCTCGTGAGGAAGATCCTGCGAAGTTTTACTCTCGAATGGAGCTCAAAGGCCGACGCCATTTGCGAATCAATTGGTGTTTCCAATATCGCCATCGATGGACTAAGAGGTAATCTCAAAAGTTATGAATCTACTATACTTAACCCATCTTTGGATGAATAGAGGAAAAAGGGGATAGCGATCAAAGCCACCAAGGAACCGGTGGAAGGAGAATCAAGCGATGAAGATAACGAGTTCGGGCTTGCTATCAAAAAGTTCCATAAATTCATGAGGAAAGAATTTAAGCACAAAGGGAAGAAGCACGATGGTCCCTCGAAGTGCTATGGGTGTGGCGAGATTGGCCATATCAAGCCAATGTGTCCAAAAGCCCAGAAAGGCAAGGACAAACATGGGTTCAAGAAGCAACGAGCCTACATTTCGTGGGGTGGTGATTCCGGTGATAAATCAACAGACGAAGAGGAAGATGAGGCCGCAAACCTTTGCCTTATGGCACATGAAGAAACAAGCGACGACGTGCAAGAGGTATGTACCACTTATTCTGACTCTTATTCTTTTGAAGAAATGTAAGAGGCACTTCGTGAACTTTATGATGAATTTGTTAGCGCTTCTAAAACTAATAGATCGGGAACCTCATCGGTGACCGTTGATAGAATCCACCCTTCGAGTAATGCGTCGAATTGAAATCACTCGACATCGTCAGCAGAAGAGGGGATGATGGTGCCATTGAGATTGCCCATGAGGTTGAATCGAAGAACAAAGAACAAAGAACGAGGAGATAAAAAGGTCGGCTCCACTTTTTGTAATTGGGTTCAGAGATGCTGAGTTGCACGGGAATATGCATTTTAATATTGGATATAGTGGTGAAGGCTAGATGGCGAGAGTTGGAGGAGGGACCATCAGAGGTAAGGGAGGAAGCATGGGCCATGGTCGGCTGCGATGATGGTTGAAATCGGCAAAGGAGAAGAGCCGAAACAGAGAGAACAACAAGAGGGGGAGAGGGCCGTGCGTTTACAGAGAGGGAGAAGGAACGGGAACCTAGATAATTAGGGCTTCAATACCATGTGGAATAGGTATTTTCCAATAATCTAAATGTGAGATTACAAGGGATTATATACAAGGGGTTTCTTAGTTGTCATAGGAAACTACAATTAATGTAACCTATACAATTATGGTAACCACAAAATATTCACAATATTAAATATAGTAAGAATATATTTAACAGCCAAAACTAATGTGGTGTTATGATAGAGTCAAGAGATCGTGACTTAGAAGATTCAGAAATCCTTAAGGAGGAGTCGATACTAGAGTAGGGAGTTTCCGAACTAGTATAAAATTGGTATGTTATTTATTTTTTATACTTTTAGTTTTACATTTTATTCATTGCTTTCGCATTTGCAAACACTAATTTTATTAAAATCGGAAAGTTTATAAATGCATTATTCACCCCTCCCCTCTAAGGCGTGGGGACTTGGACTAACATATTTGAAGATATCACATAAAATTTCTCGTGATAGTCTTTATAATTTTTGTAAATGTAATTTATTTTTACATAAATAAGGTGTTATTAGTGTAATATATCATAGTGAACATATGTAAATCACGTACTTTTATTTATATGCATCATCAATCTATAGAGTCGTAAATATTTATGAAAACTAACATGGATATCAATCTATAGAGTCGTAAATATTTATGAAAACTAACATGGAGAAACATTCAGGCTCCGTTTGTTATAAGGAATTGGTGGTATTGGAATTGAAATTCCATGAGATTCAATTCCATAGAATTGAATTCTGTCAATTTCAATTCATTTTTGCACTATTAATTTTAAATTCACATAATTTTTGTGCTACCAAACACCAGAATTGGAACTGAAGTCTCTAATTCCAATTCCATAGTTTGAATTCCATGTACCAAACGGGACCTCAACAGATATATGATGTTTATGAGCATATGCGCGATTTTCTTGGGATGCTTAGAAGCATTGATTGTATGCACTTGGTGTGGGAAAATAGCCCCATGGCTTAATGAGGGTCACATCAACGAGGTGATCACCCAAGTCCAACATCAATGCTTGAAGTGGTTGCTTCGAGTGATCTTTGGATATAACATGTGTACTTTGGCATTGTAGGATCGTGTAACAATATCAATGTCCTCGATCAGTCTCCAAAATTTGAGGATATTTATAATGGTGTTGCACTTCCATCTTCTTTTATTTGTAATGAATCTTATTACAAATACGGACATTACCTTGCCAATGGCATCGACCCTAAGTACACCACTCTCATGAAATCAATTACATGCCCATGTGCGGAGCATGAGAAAAAAAGTATTTCAAGAAGGCACAAGAGGCTGCGAGAAAGGATATTTAAAACGCATTATTTGGTGTTCTTAATAGCAAGTGGCATATTGTGCGCAATCCCTATGGTATGTGATAAATAAACAAATTTTGGGATGCTAAAATTGTTTTTAGAAGACAATTACGTGGACGTTGACGTTCCAGAAGTAGAAAATTTTGAACAACAAATAAAATGAGATTCGCAGTGAGGTCCGAAGTAGGAAAATACATAACATGCTTAAAGGAGCTTTGGTAGAGCTTGTTTGTATAAATCGAGTCATAAACAAGTAGTTATATTTTTTAGGTTAATTGTATGCTTTCTATGTATTTAATTTTTAAATTTTTAGTTTATTTTTTTAAATATTTGTATTTTGTAATAAAAAATTACTTAGTTTATTTTTTCAGAAAAAGTTATCTAAAAATAAAAAAAATTGTCTAACACATGTCAAGCCCCCCCCCATCGAGCTTCCCATAACACATGTCATAAGTTTAGATGATAGAAAATACAAATGTACCCCACTTAATAGCCACATAACAAAGGTTTTTACGTAGAAATACCAAAGGATTAGATCTATAATGTACCACGTAGGTAAATAAAGTTTCTTGAAAACTAATTTAGAAAAATACTTTATTTGAAAGAACTATTTTAAAAATTTACTAATTTAAGACAGAATAAAACTTGTGTTGACATTTATGAAAAGAAGAAAGAAATGATGTGAACCATTTGATCAATATCAAATACTCCCTCCGTCCCAAAAAGATTTACACGTTTCAAAAAAGTTGTGTCCCACAATCCTTTACCCATTTATATTAAAAAACCACTTTTACCCCTTACTTTTTCAAACCCTACCTATCACATCATACATTTTTCCTAATAATCTACACATCACATCCTACTTTTAGCCATCACATCAAGGGTATTTTTGGAAAGTCAACACAAAATTATCCCTCCCTTAATTTCAATTTTAGTCAAAATGGGTAACACTTTATGGGACGGAGGGAGTATAAAAGAAACATGAAATTTATTTTTGGATAAATAAAAAACGAAACTGAGATTTTTTTTGAAATGGTTGGAATATACTCCCTGTCAGTGTTTCCTATAAAAAACTTTACACTTTTCTTTTTCGGGTGTATCATAAAAATTTTGAGACTTAATTTATATTCTATTTTGGCAATAAATTTGTGACTACCAACAATTCTCTTTTCCTCTAAACAAGTTCTAACTAAAAACTTTTTAAAAATACAGTAACACTGAATCAAAGAGTCATTTTAAAAGAGGAAGGAAGTATATGATTTCTAAAATGAGAACTTCTATGGTGAACCTAAAGTCTACATAAATCTTGTCACATATTTTTTAAATTTAAAAATTGTTTATTTAAGTACTTCAATATGCTTATTTAACTTCGCCATAGAATTTAGATACATGTAATAATTGGCCTTATGGGATATACACAAATATTTTTTTAAATAAATGGAGTGATAATTAGTCAAACTTTCGATTAAAAAAACATGACTTATTCTTGTGGTAGGGATATAGAGATGATTGTATATCATCATTATTTTGACGCAGGTGGGGTTTTTGATGTATACATACTCCCACTAGAAGTAGAAAAAGGAGTGTGTTCCATTCACATCACAATCACTCACAATTCGCAGGGGAGACTTTTTTTTTTTGGAAAACTAAAAAAGAAAATTTCTTTACTCGGCTCACATGGGTGGTTTAAAAGATCCGGATGGAAAGGTTAATCTAAAGAAACAGTTATACCCGCTAAGATATTAAATACACCCGTTCACGAAATTTTATTAAGTTTTTTTTGAAGCGACGAAACTTTATTAAGTTAAAAAAAAATTCCGTATAAATGTTTAAAGTTATACCCTTATTTCATTTTATTACATTTAAAAATAATAATATAAATTTTAATTGTAATTGAAATTCTACATCTTTGACATCTCTTGTATTAGTTTTTCATTAATTAAAAATAACTTTAATTGTTAATACCTTGAATGACAATTAAATTTTGTATAAAACCTCCTTTTTCTAGAGTAAATTCCATAAAAGGTGTCCAGTAATCCATGTTTTTATTTCCAAAATAGGACTTACATTACCAAACATGGTCATATACATTACAAAAAAAGTATAGTAATTTGCACATGTACACTGCCACATTATCACAATGCAAAGTCACATTACCACAGTGCAAAGTCCTATTCTGGGAAAAAAAACATGATAGTCCTATTTTGGTACTTTTCTCTATGTTTTAGTCCTATTTAGGATGATTTCTATTCTTTTATATATTTGGTCCCTACATATCAAATATCAATAATTTAGTCCTCAATTATTATATTATTTTTCACGAATGATCCTTTATTAACATTTTCGTTAAAAACATGGATAAAATTGTAATCTCACACTCCTCTCTCTCCTCAGTCAAGCTTCCTCCCTCCTTTCTCAAACCCGTCACTAAGTTTGAAGCTTTAAACCCAAAACCAAAATTATAACTCCTCTCTCAATTGTTCGTCTTCCTGGTGGAATCCAAAATCGAAACCAGCAACCTTTATGGATGAGTTTTAAAGTTTATTTTCTTTGCAATTTCCTGAGACTAAGCCATAAAACTCATCCATGAAGGTCATTGATTTCGATTTCGGATTCCACCAGGAAGATGAACAATTGAGAGAGGAGTGATCGTTTCAATTTTGGGTTTAGAGCTTCAAAGTCAGCACGGGTTTGGGAATGAGTACCATAGGAGGGTGGAAGCTTAATTGAAGAGAGAGAGAGGAGTGTGAATATATAATTGTATCCATTTCTTAACGGATATGGATAAAACGACCACTGAGGAACTTTTATTGAATTTACTCTTTTTCTATATATTGTACCAATATGCATTTCACCAATTTTATCTATATAGTTACTTAATTATTTTAAAAAGAAGGTTAAACAAGTTTTACTTTAAAAAAACTTTATACGGAGTATAACTTTTAAAACTATTCACTATTATTTTCTTTCACTACTTTTACTATTGCGTGTATTATATTATTATTAAAACTACAATTTTTATTTTAAAAAGATAGCATATCTATTAATTTAAAAACATATTTATTTGAAAACTAAAAAATACTCATAAAATTATATTTTGATCCAAAATATATTTATCAAAATGTTTATAATGGTAAAATGTTCTATATGAGATTATGAATTACAAACAATTTAGAAATTAATGGAGTAAATTTAGCATTTGAGTAAGGTGTGACTATTATCACCCTAATTCCGAACATAGAATATGGTTGTAACCCGGGTGGCGTTCCACCCGTATTTGTTTACTACTCCGTATTTTTCCTTAGATCATTCTAATATATTTATTCCGTTTTTAGTTATGCTAAAATAGAAAAAAGAGCTTGGGAGGAGTTTATTGCACCAACACTTCTTTGTGGTTTGATAAATGTGCACCGTTACCCCCCGATGATTTTGAAACTTACGCCAATTCCCCTATGGACAAAAATATACTTCAAATATTAGGTGAATAACTCCACTGCCCCCTATGGTTTTGGAAATAAGCGCCAAGACCCCTCTCCCTTTTCTTTTTTCTTTTCATAAAGAGAAGAAAAATGTTTGTGTGAGAAATAATGAAAAATTTCTTTTTCAAACTTACATTTTTTAATAATTTTTAGAAAACTAAAAAATGTTTTTGTTTGAAATAAAAATTTAACATATATTTCATTTGTCAAATCAAATACTTTTTTTGTCTTAAAAAACTTTTATCTTTTTGAATATGTCGGGACCAAAAGAATACTGAGTAACATCTTTTTAATATATGGTTAATTATATATTAATAATATTTTTGGGGCAGTGCACAAAAGATTTCCTTCATGACTTAATTTCAATTCCCCTATTCTATAAAAGTATTTTTTTTCATATAATTTTCTTTTTCTTTATTTTATTTTCTATTTGTTTTTTTCTTTTATTTTAATTTTGATCAAAATAAAAGAAAAAGTATAAAATTAATGAACAGAAAATAAGAAATGGGCTTTAGTAAAAAAAATGGGGCAGTGCAGGTATTTACATAATATTTGAAGAATATTTTGGTCTAGATGGGCATTGGCGTAGCAATATTAGAACAATGAGAGTCAAAGACGTAAGTTTTAGAATCATAGAGAGTAACACTGCATATTTACCAAATGACACGGAGTCATAGTACAATAAACTTAGTTTGTAAATTATTTTTTGGAATACTTCATTTTACGTGTTTGAATATTCTGTATTTTTTATATGGAGTATGATTTTTTCTAATTTCAACTTGACACTGCATATTTACCAAATGACACGTAAGTTTTGAATTTCATCGCACACAAAATGACAGTCAATCTCAATATACTTTATTCGTTCGTGAAAAGCTGGATTAGCCGCGATGTGAAGAGCAGCCTGATTATCACAAAACAAATGCATGGGTTGTGTGTGGCGCACCCAAGTGATAGAAGAAGAGACTTCAAACATTTTAATTCACAAACTGTGGTTGCCATTTCACGGTACTCGGCCTCTCTAGATGACCGAGAAACAACGTTCTACTTCTCCGTACGCCAGGTCACTGGGGAATCCCCAAGACGGAAAAAATAACCTGTAACAGAATGACGTGTCAAATGACAACTAGCCCAATCAAAGTCGCAGTAGGCTTGAAGAGGGATCACTTTGTGCAGGAATGTCCAGGACTGGTCTTGATGTAACGCAGAACCTAGGTCGCCCCATCCCAGTGTTCCTGTCGCGGTTCCCCCATAAACTGAGATAGCACATGAACAACATATGCCAGATTAGGGCGAGTAATGGCAAGATAGATTAAATGGCCAACTAGCCAGCGATAATGCGCCGGACCAGGTAGTAGTGGACCATTCGCCAATGCCAGGCGATGATTTTGTGGAAGAGGAGCGGTTGCCGGACGTGCACCTAAGAAACCAGTCTCATAAAGAATATTAAGGGCATATTTTCGTTGGCATAAAAATATCCCATTGGAATTCCAGGAACTTCAATACCTAGAAAATAATTCAATAGACTAAGATTCTTCATATGAAAGAGATTTGAGAGATATTTTTTAAAACAAACATAAAGGTCTCATCATTTTCTACAATAACAAGATCATCCATATAAACCAGCACACGGAGTTCAATAGAACCACACATGTAAGTAAACAACGAATAATATACTTTGGATTGCTGAAACCTTAAGTGTTTCAAAGAGGAGGAGAGTTCAGAAAACCAACACCCTGGGGCTTGACGAAGACCATAAAGAGATTTATGAAAACGACAAACCAGTCCATTACCCCAGGAATCAAAATTTGGGGGAAATGTCATGTAAATTTCGTCCCGTAGATCACCATGTAAGAAAGCATTATGAACATCCATCTGGTGTAGATTCCAGTTGCGGGCAGCACCAACTGCTAACAGAGCTCAGACTATAACTAAATTTTCCATTGGAGCAAAAGTTTATTTAAAATCAATCCCTTCTTTCTGCTGATTGCCAAGGACCACCAATCGAGCCTTGTAACACTCAATGCTCCCATAAGATTTGTGTTTGTTTTTATAGACCCATTTGGAGCCTATTGTTTTCCTATCGGGATGTAGGGGGATAAGAGACCAAGTCTCATTAGCTTCCAATGCCTAAATTTCCTCCTTCATAGCTTCTACCCACAGGGGTGTTTGATAGCCTCTGAAAAGAATGTAGGCTAAACATCTACACTTATAACTACCAAAAAAGGTTTGAGTGAATCAAGAGAGGGACATTGAATGGTGCGAGTGACAAAGTCACACAACCGTGTTGGAGGACAATGTTCTCTTTAACTTTGGCTCAAAGGTTCTTGCGTTGGAAGAGTTTGGTTGTCAATGGAGGGAGGACGGTCGACTGTTTCTGTGGTTCAGTCGTTCTGATCGACCGTCTAGAAGGATTCGGGGAGCGAAGTGGAGCACGATTGACCAGAGGCAATAAGACGGTCGAGGGCATCAACCTTCTGGGAGATAGTGTATGGTTTAGAGGCATGGCTGGTAGGTGGTCGACCGTTTATGGGGGGACGGTTGAGTTGTGGGAGGCAGTTTCTGGTTCACAGGAGTGGCCGATAGACGGTCGACTGTTTGTTGGGAAATTGTCGTACTCCTCGACCGTCTGGGACAAAGTTGAGGGTGAGGTAGATATTTCTTTGTCGAAAAAATCTAGGATGGTTCGGGTTCAGGAGAAGTGCGTGTGGTATGAGAGATAAAGGGAGAATAGTTTTCAAACAATTTGACATCTCGACTAACAAATATCTTGGTGTCTAAATCGAGAAGACGCCACCGTTTTTGTCCAAACGGATAGCTAAGAAATACACAACGACGGGATCGACTATCAAATTTGTCTCTGTTATGGGATTGATTATGGACTAGGCAACACATCCGAGCACTCGAATATCATTGTATGACAGGGGTTTTCCAAATAACACAGAATATGGTATGTTGCCTTTGTGCAAATCAAAAGGTGTGCGGTTGATGAGGTGAACTGCGGTAAGAATACAGTCACCCCAGAATTTGAGAAGAAGATTGGCTTGAAAACATAGTGCTCGGGCTATATTGAGAATTTGAGGGTGTTTTCGCTCGACACGGTCATTCTGTTGATGGGTGCTAACACAATAGAAACAAAAAATTGTGCCCATATTATCAAAGAAGGGTTTTAAACAAGTGAATTCCGTACCATTCTCACTACGTACGACCTTGACCTGTTTATTAAATTGACACTAAATCTTGGGAAAGAGATTACGAAGAATAGTAGGAGCTTCATATTTTTGGCTTAATAAGTACACCCATACTGCTCGAGAAAAATCATCAACAACTATTAAGAAATATATTGCTCCAGTAGGAGAAGGAGTACGATAACCACCCAATCCCATAAATCACATGAATCGAAGCAAAATGAGAATTAGATATATTCAAACTAATAGGAAAAGAGTCACGACATTGTTTTGAGCATAAACACGTATCACAAGGTAAACCAAAAACACTAGAATTATTAGATAATTGGAGAAAGGATTTGACAATGGTGTAAGAAGGATGACCCAAACGCTTGTGTCAAATGTCCAGATCCATTTCTTGTTTCACGTTGCAAACTTTCTCTTTCACACCAATCACACCTTTTTTGAGATAGTAAAGTCCCTCAACTTGTTCACCCATTCCAACCACCATCTTCGAGATATAGTCCTATATAATATAAATTTTATTATTAAACTTGACAAATAATTTCTTTTTCTCAAGACGTTGAGAGACAGATATAAGATTGCAATAAGGTTGAGGAACTAGCAAAACATTTTCTAAGGTTATCAAATCATTCAATACCCTTCCCCCTCTTTGTTTGGCTACAACGCAATCCCCATGAGATAGACCAACGGAGCATGGCTTTATTGTTTCCAATTTTACAAAACATCTCTCATTGCCGGTCATGTGTTGACTAGCACGGCTATCAATATCCAAGAGGTGTTAGGCATCACTGAAAATTTATTTTCAATACCCAATTCTTTGTCATTTTGAAGTCCTATACGAGCGCACGATTGATTAGTTACGGGGAACAAAAAATTTAGGTTGGTAGCTCCTCGTCCTCCTTCTAGCATGCCACCCTGAGCGGTTAAAGCCGCTGGACCACCTCCATTCCTATTGCCATGCCCGGCGGTCCCCATTGCCACCACGTCATCCTCCAGAACCACCACGATGATTAATTCCACGCCCTAGGTTTAAGACTCGTGGGTGATCTCCCCACCATTCTAGATATCCAACCAGTTGGAAACAACCACTCTTTTCGTGTCCCTTTAGTCCATATATAGTGCTTGCATTTCAATTCTTTATTTTCTTCAAGATCAAATTTAGAACTGACAGCAAAGCTTAGTGGATTTCGTTCTTCTCCGAGTGTGATTTTCAAGACTCCCTCTTGCTGGATGATGGTTGAGTATACACGATTCTATTGTTCCACAGTTCAGTGCTTATGATATTGGATCTGAGACTACCATATCCGTCTTTGTCCAATCCCTCTTGGTGAACTTTTTCTTTATCTAATTGTATCGCAAGAGCCTTGCTTATGCCACAATTGCATACATGACACTTGCACGTAGGAATTTTTTCATGATCGCTGAGTTCATCCGAGATCCCTTTTAGTTTTCCAAAGTATCTAACAATTGACTGTTCGTTTTGCTTACAATTTGCAAGCTCTTTCTTCAGATGATGAATTTGAGGGCCTTTTCGACACAAAAACGATCCTTTATATCTCTCTAGAGTTCTGTAGTCTCTTCAACTTGCGTGATGGGATTTCTCAAGCTTCCATCAATGGTGTTATAAATACATGAGACCAACATGGCATTCACAATCCACCATTCTTCATAGTCTTCGTTTCCCTCTTCTAGACAAGGGATGTGTTCATCAATGAATCCAATTTTCCGTTTTGCACGGAGTGCGATCCTCATCGCTCGAGATTACTCTTTATAATTATCACGATTTAATTTGACTTGAGTGACAATTGATCCGGGTGTATCGACGTTTTTGAGTTCATAAGAGCTTCCCCCTATTGCGTCCTTCCCTTCATCGTCGAAAAGTTTCCAAGTGATGGGCTCCTAAATTTCCGTCATTGTGACGGCGGCGGAACGATGGTCAATTGGCGGCGGATTGACGGTCCGTGTTTAGGGTTAGAAATTTTCAAGGTTCGGTTACTCCGATATCATGAAGGAAATAATAAGACAGAAAATATTCTGTGTGTGGAATTGGCTCATGGAATACAAAGGATTAATTCCCTTTATATAGGAGGAGAAACAAAGCAAATAAGTAAACTACCATAATTCTACTCCTACCATAATTTTATCCCTATCCTAATAGGAATTATATTAAATAAGGAAAGAAAATAAACATTCTCCTTTTTCCTTTTAGATTGCATCACACGCCAAAAAAAATTTGTAAAATTAAAAAGAAAAATTGTTTACTGCCGGCATGGGTGGTTTAAATAAAACGGAGGAGAGAAGTGTTAATTCCTAGCTCAGAATTTGGTTACTCGGTATTTTTCCTTGTTAGATATTCCCTCTGTTCGAAGGTGTTCTTCTCGTTTAACTTTTCACGGTTTCTATGACCACACTTTGACCACTAATATTCTTATTTATGCATACATATTTTAGAAAAAATTGATATTTGAAAACTACATTTCTATAGGAATATAGTGATATTAAAGTTATATCATTATACAGTATATTATTTCCACATGTCGGAATCAAACTTTAAAAACTTTGACCAGAAAAAGTGAAATGGGAAGAACATTTCTAGACGGAGGGAGTAGTTCCAAAATAGGAAAAAGACTTAAGTAGGAGTAAAAATCAAAAATATACCAAAATAAGAGTTCTATGTATTTATTTTCGAAATAGGAGTTAAAGTACATTTACATTACCAATCATGACCATGTATATCACGTAAAATGCACATGTACAGTGCCAGATTACCACAATGCGAACTCCTATTTAGGGAATAAAAACATGAAACTCCTATTTTGATATTTTCTCTATGTTTTATTTCTATTTAAGATGATTTAATTTCTTTTCTAAAATATTTGTTGAGTTCCTAGTTAACCTAAAATAAAATTTCATTAACTCTAAAATAGAATCACCCCTGTCGCAAAATATTTATCAAGTTTTGACGTTTTATGGTCAAAATCTATAAATTTTGATCATAAATTTAAAAAAAAATTTGTGATAAATATTGATACAAAAAGATTTATTAGATTAACTTATAAAATAGTTTTAAAGTACTATATTACCTACTCCGTAGCTAATATACCACATAACTTTTAGGGGTGAGCATGGTACGGTATGGTACGGTATTTAGCCCGTACCGATACCGTACCAAATATTTCGGTTCGGTATGGGATTTTACACCGTACCGATCCCGATCCCGACATATCGGTTCGGTATGGTTCGGGATGGTTCGGTATCGGTTTCGGTACAAATCGGGATGAATATACATACCTACTTTACACCTTAAAGTTTAACAATGTCCCCTTATTTTTGAAAATTAAAAGTGAATTTAAATAAAAAACGTGAAAAATTAAAAAAAAATGAATATTTAAATGCAAGGGATGCATATCAAAACATAGTTTATATTTCACAAACTAAAAAAATGAACGACAACAAAGGGTTTTTCGAATCTTTGTGAATACTTTTATGTTTATACACAAAAACTAAAACTCAAATAAAAGTATAACGTACACATGATAAAACTTGAACCAATATTTTTTTAAAAATTACTCCGTATTATTTAGTGAAGGAATATGAAAAATATTACTCCGGGTTGTTATTTTTATAATATTTTAGTATATATGTTCGGTTCGGGATTTTCGGTATGGTACGTCACCTCGTACCGTTCCCAAATACCGTACCGACCATTCGGTTCGGTACGGTTCGGTTTCTTCTCGGTACTTTTTCGGTTCGGTATTTTTCGGTTCGGTATTCTCGGTATTTTCGGGAAATTTCGGTATCGGTTCGGTACTTGCTCACCCCTAATAACTTTTATTAAATTATAAGTCGAAGGATCGGAAGATCATAGTTGACTACAAAAAATCAAAACTTGGCAAACCCTCCAAGACCAAAAGGGAGTACTTCATCAATTTTCAGTTCATTCAAGTTTGATGTATCTCGAAAATCATCATAATGGTCAGCTAATTGTGAATGTAATGACCTTATATTTCTCTCTCAGTCTCCCGAACAAATTTGGAAAAAATAACCAAAATAGAGGTTAACCATAAACAAAGTATCTAAATAAAACCTTTAATTATTGTGTACCACTAAAACTAATGAATAGAACAATTAAGTAAAAAATAAGTAGAGAAGAACCTGACATACAACTTAACGAGTAAAGATCATAACAGGGCTGGTCTCGTGGAGACGTGGATTCATGGGTCCTGAAAGACATGTTGGAAATGGGCCCCAATGCCATAAGTTCTTAACAAAGTAAAGTCTATCAACTATTTTTATAACAATACAGTATATAATTAATACTACGTATTATAGTAATAAGAATAATAATAAAACGTCTATACACAGATACACACACACATATATACATACATTTATATACATATATATATACACACACACACATACATATAGACACACACACACAAAGATATAGATATGTGTGTGTGTGTGTATAGGGGTTGACTCCAGTGAGATGACACCTTACGGTGGGATGACATGCTTCACTGAGATAACGCAAAGCTCACAACTGGCTACTGCAAAGCTCACTTAGAAATAAAGCAAAGCTCACCACTTTGAACACCAGAACTCACCTTTTTTTTAAATTTTAAAAATTAAAAAATTAATAAAAAAAATAGCAATACTGGTCAACCACCGGTCAGCAGCGGCGGCAGGCGGCGGAGCAGCAGCAGCTGGCGGAGGAGCGGCGGCTGCCGACGACCGGCGACGGCGGCTTCTGGCTGTGGCAACGGTCAAAATCTAGTCAGCATGCCTTCCTTTGATTTTATTTTTTCAAAAAAAAATCAAAGTGTTGGAAAAATATAGTGAGCTTTGCTTTACAGTTTGGTGAGCTTTGTAGTTGTCATTAGTGAGTTTTGCAGTGGCCAGTGGTGAGCTTTGCGTCATCTGATCGTAACATGTTATCTCACTGTAAGATGTCATCTCACTGGAGTCAATCCCATATATATATATATATATATATATATATATATATATATATATATATATATATATATATATATATATATATATATATATATATTAAATGGCCCTTGATATATCAATAGTATACTTGTATACTTTAACGAGAAAATGGTTTTTGTGATTAAAAGGAAGCTTAGCTAAAGTTTTGATCTCATTCCACCACGTCTACACTTCATTATTTGGGATGTAAGCACGCAATAGCTACAAAAACAAATCATTTTTTTTTGCGGATTTGTTTTCACAAAGGAACAAAGGGTCTCATTATCAATCACAAACAACATTTAAGTCCCGTTTGGTACATGGAATTCAAACTATGGAATTGAAATTGAGGACTTCAATTCCAATTTTGGTGTTTGGTAGCACAAAAATTATGTGGATTTAGAATTCATAATGCAAAAAATGAATTGGAATTGGTGAATTCAATTTTATGGAATTGAATCTCATGGAATTTCAATTCCAATTCAATTCCAATTCCATCAATTCTATACACCAAACGGACCCTTACAAAAATTAAAAACTATTATCACTGTCCCAAAATATTTGTTCAATTTGATTTTTTTGAGTCAAAACTGAATGAATATTAGGTCTCAATTAAATAAAAATGATAATGTGTTTTGGTGTAAAACTTATTCAAATAGATTTATATTGTTGAGAACTATTAAAAATTTAATTTGTTGTATCAATATGCAATACAAATTAAGAGTAATTAACAAGATCGATTATCTTTCATGGTTAGAAAAGTCGCACGAAAAGCTGGTTTCCAAACACAACCATAGTCGATCACCACAGGCCAAAAAAACTTTAGCACAAAGGTTGAGAAGGTACAAAAACAAAAGGCTTGAGAACAAAAACAAAGAAGAGTATAACCCCACTCCCACCCTGTCCTCATGCACATCCATCATGTCTCAATGCATGCCACTTCCATTGAGCTAGCTAGCGTTGCATCATCCTAATAACAATGAATTTGTTGCCATATATATATATATATATATATATATATATATATATATATATATATATATATATATATATATATATATATATATGCAACTTTAATTGTAGGGACACAACCTCAAACCCACGCCTCTCAACCCTCTTTTGTGCTCTACAAACATTGCATCTTTATCACGTTATTACGAGGAAAATCCACTGTCCCGCCCTCCATCGTTTATTGTCTACTACTACTATTATTATTATTATTATTATTATTATTACTATTATTATTATTACTATTATTATTATTAGTATTATTATTATTAATGAATCCGGACGTGCGTCTTTTATATACATAAGCCGGCCAGCCCGTAGAAACTACTAAGTTACGTTAAGCTAAAGATATCCTCTCGATCTAACTTATTCTATTGATTCATGTGTTACTAAAAATGAGACGCTTTGGACACCACGGGAGGGTTTGATGATAGTAAAAGTTGGGAGATTTGGAGAAACAAAGAGGTCGATTAGTACACAATATTCTATAGAAACATTTGCTTCGTATAAGATGGTACTTTTTCCTGAATAGGACCAAGTTTGTTTAATTCCTTTTATTGCACATATTTCTGTATGATCTGTCAAATATGTCCTCATTAATAACAAGTATTGTATAATAACTGATTATACAAATGACTAGTTATACGAATGTGGCAATTATTAATAGTGAAATTTGCACTAAATAAGACTAAAACATAATGACTTTTCTTAATAAGTTTTGGATAATGACTGATTATTTCAATGAATATTCAAATTGTATTTAATAATGTTTTATTATATTTGAGGTATGTAATGTGTCATTCTTCTCAAAGCCAAGGCATTTTAGAAACTGGAAGAAACAACAACAAACTGGAAGAAACTGAAAAAACTTTAAAAAAAAATTGGAAAACCTAAAAAACTTTAAAAAAATTATTGAGTAAATTTCATAAAAGGTCCCCAGTTATAGGTCGTTTTACATATTTAGTCCCTACATATCAAATATTACTAATTTAGTCTCTAATTATTACGGAGTATATCATTTTTCACGAATGGTCCTTTGTTAACGTTTTTGTTAAGAACATGAATAAAATTATATATTCATATTTCTCTCTCTCCTCAATTAAGCTTCCTCCCTCCTCTCGTACTCTTTCTCAAACTCGTCGCTGAGTTTGAAGCTCTAAACCCAAAACTGAAAATGAGCACTCCTCTTTTAATAAGCTTTATGGATGAGTTTTATCGGTTAGTCTCAAGAAATTGTAAAGAAAATAAACATTAAAACTCATCCATGAAGGTTACTGGTTCGAATTTGGGTACCACTAGTTCGACAAACAATTGAGAGAAGAATGATAATTTCAGTTTTGGGTTCAAAGCTTCAAACTCAACAACGGGTTTGGGAAAAGAGTGCGAGGAAAGGCAAGAAGCTTAATTGAGGAGAGAAAACAGTGTGAATTTACAATTTTATCCATGTGCTTAACGAAAATGTTAACAAAGGACCATTCGTGGAAATGAATATAATAATTGGGGACTAAATTAGCAATATTTGATATGTAGGGACTAAATATGTAAAACGACCTATAACTAGGGACCTTTTATGGAATTAATCAAAATTATTTTAGCGTATTTTTATATTATTCTCATTTTAATTCTTGTTGTTATAAATTACTACTACTACTTATGGGATAATGAAGGTTCCATCCCTATATATAGTGACTTGTATCAACGTTCCCTTTATTACTCAAATTTTATTAGTTACATATATATAATGTATCACCGTTCCCTTTAAAACTAATATAATCTGATAATAATTGGTCTTATGGGATAATGAAGGTTTCATCCATATATATAGGAATAAAGAATACAAGAGATAATCATAATCATAGTAGAATAACAATTATAGAAATGATAGAAATAGTAAAGAAATAAATAATAATATCTTGTTTTTTATTATCCTTCTGCGAGTTGATTAACAGTAATGATGGGCAGCTTAGAGCACAAGTACAGGAATGGAGCTAGTAGGGGCAGTTTTGTGACTGCTTAGAAAAAGGAATGAATGAGTAGTCATGGGGCTACTATGACTTCATCTCGCATAATTGATAGCTAGAACCAACATGTTTCATATAGTCATGCAGAACTGGACTCTTGATCACACAGATAGTGGATTCATCATCGCAGTAGAGGTGAGGTTTTGACAGAGGGATGCTTAGAGCATCAGTAACATACCGTAGCCACATAGCTCCTTCCACACATACAATTATGTCACGCTATTCAGCCTCAGATGAAGATCTAGAGACACGAGTATGTTTGTTCGTACACCAAGAGATGAGATTGGACCC